CCTACGCCCGCGCCTCTCGGTCCGGTCTTGCACGCTGCAGCGTGGTACTCCACTAATATAGTTAGCACAGTTAATAAAGTTAGTAAAATTATTAAAGTATAGTTAGTAAAGTTAGTTAGTTTAGTTAGTATACGTAATATAATAAGTTAGTATAGGTAGTAAAGTTAGGTAGTTTAGTTAGTACAGTTATTGACTCTATTTGTATATTGGATTTAGTCTAATTAGTTGTTGTAGTTAGCCTTGTATAGATGTTAATATTTGATTAGTTAGTATAGTTATAGTTAGAAATGTATTAATGTTAGTATGGACATTACGCACGATGATTTCGACGACTTTATGAAGTTTCTTGAAATGCTTTTGCAGATGGATTGTTGTGTTAGAGTTTTGTACGGAGGAAGTGTTAGGAGAGAAGATGGTATGTTTGAGGATATAGAAGAAGAATTAGAATGGTTTGATGAACCTCCTAGTTTCAACGACCTTTGTGTCCGTTTGAATACAAAGTTTGACGGTGATTTCATACTGAAGGGGAGGTTTGATACTGGAAAGACTAGGACACACTATGTCCTCATGCCTTTGCGTGACCCTGCTCACTGGTCCCGCTACACTAGGGTTCTCTAAGGTTCCAATGTGCCCATGGCTGAGGTGGTGGTGGAGAATGGGTACATGATGCATGGTGTTTAGGACGGCCCGTCCATCGATGGTTTTGAAGGCAATGAATAAGAATTTGGGGTCGAATGGGAAGCAACTCAGGATAACATGGATTTTGTGAAGAGATGAGAACTTGCGCAGAGGAATATAGCTGAGCAGGGGCGTTTTAGAAAGGTCGGAGCTGAACATTTGAAGGAGGCCAAGGAATTGGCCAAGCAGCACACCGCCGAGCCATATGGACCCCGCCGCCATATCTTTAGTGTACGGGGCAAAGGTGGCACAAGCTTGAGCGGCGAACGTTATGGTGGACGAAACTACCGAGTTGATCTTGAAAAGGTAAAGTGCAGTTGCAACGTCCCTCGGATCATGCATGCCCCATGCTCTCATATGATCACGGCCTGCAGGGTTCACGGGTACAACTATGAGGATCTACCATATATGTCACCCTTGTATTTCTGTTCGAACACCGTTAGTATTTGGGAGATGAGCTTCGAGCCATACCTTGACCCAACACAGTGGTCACCTTATAATGGTTATGACTACATGCCGCATCCGGATCTAATGAAGGTATGAAAGGGTAGGAGGAAAAAGAAGCGACTGAAGGGGGACATAGACGCTATGAGAGGGTACGGCAAAGACATGTACGGCGAGGGAGACTTCAACGAGACCCGTGGCAAAAATCTTTGCTCCATTTGCAAACAATCTGGCCACAAGGCTAGGCGGCATAGAATACAACATGTGATTTCATATTGTGTTCGTATTGCATAACAAGTAGTTCAAATTTTACAATGCTACATAATGTTAATCTAAAAATTATTAATTTAAATACTCTAACCCTTTATTTATCATTTTACAACAGGATGGCCCCTCCCACGCCGCACCAGCTGTACCCCCTTCTTGATGTGGAGTACGACGACCCCCTTCTTCTACCGGACGATGAGGTTTCCAAGAGGCGTTCAAGGGATCCTTACATTCGTGGGACTTAGTTCATTACGTCGAACTTATGTCAAACGAATATTGTCGTCGAAAACTTGTAGACTCATAAACCAATAAAAATGTTGTGTGGCAACTTGTCGTCCATTTATTTGCTTCATGTTCGTTTTGTATAGCACTTGTAGTTTGTACAGCACCGACAACAACTCAATTGTAGCTGGCCGTTGTCTGTCCGCGTCACTGCCGCGCCGTGGTCTATGGCGCGACACTGACGTGCCATGTACTATGGCGCGGCACAGACGCGCCATGGGCTCTAGCACATTAGAACCATGCCTATGGAGCACCAGAACCTGGGCTATGGTGCGGCAAATGATTACGTTCGTTTTAGAAATTTTGAACGCATAATACAAACAGATGTGATCACTTAAGATCGATCATGGGTAATCCGAGTACATGATACATAGGTACAATACATCAGTAGTTTAAATAGAATATAAGACAACACAATATAATTTCTACTACATAGCTACATTGATCATTAATAAAGCATGGAACTAACAGACGGTGCAATAAAAAACCCTCAGTCAGAAACATACTGAGTAAGCAACTCGTCGTCCGAGTACCAATCCTCAACCACAACCCTGTTGCTGTGGCTAGGGTCACCTGCATTGCCTTGGTCTGCCTTTCACTTGTAGTAAGCGGCCTCCTCTTCATCTGCGGCCTAAGTGAAGAACGTGTTGTCATCCTCCTCCGCTTGCAAGCCAGTCTCTATTAGAGCGATGAGCTCGCTCAGTCTAGCAGTGTCGTCATCAGCCTCCTCCACCTGCAAGTCCGCCTCTGCTAGAGCGATAAGCTCGCTCAGTCTAGCAGTGTCATCTTCAGCCTCATCCGCCTACAAGCCCATCTCTGCTAGAGCGATGAGCTCGCTGAGTCTGGCAGTGTCGTCCTCATCCTCGTCTCCCTCATCAGACAACACAATTGGTGATTCAACGGTGCGACCAGCTCGCTTTCTGTGCTCATCTAGCTTCTTTTTCTTGTACATTGCACGGGCCACCTCTGCAGCATGGTCCTCACTGCATCCAATCCCTTCATGTATAAAATACAATCAGTTAGCAACACGATTATATTACATTTAAAACCAGGCAACGAAAAAAAGGTTTTCAAGCACTCACTGGCACATAATGAAACAACATGCTCGTTCAAGACCTGCATCTGTACTCTTGTCTCCTCCCTTGCCTCCTTCCTTGCCCTCTCCTCCTCTAATGCCATGTGTCTCTCCAATCCCCATTTGACAAGCCCAACGTCGATCGGGTTACAAATACCATGCTGTCTAGCAAACTCATGCATCTTGTCTTTTGTGATGTTTAACGAAAAGAGTTGACGTAGTCAGGTCCATATCCCCTCTTCCGTGTAATTACTTGCTTCCCCTTCAGTTCATCCAAGAACTTAGCTTGACCATCATAATATTCTCACCTGCATTTTCTTGTGCTCTGTTCAAACGATATATTATATCATATATGCCTTAGCAAAAGAAACAAAATACGATTTCATGGTTAACACAAAAAAACCAACCTCATCATAGTCAATCATATGGCCACAATAATGGCCTCTTCCAAACTCCAAAGGGACTAGACCGTAGTTGGATTTAACACCACATTCGCACTTGATTGGTGGTGCTTTGTAAATTAACCTTTCTTTCTTCTTTTGTTTTGCTTTTGGAGATTCTTCGGGCCATTTGTTTTTAGGACCATACAACCACTCCTTGAAACGATACTTCGCCATTGAATACACCTAAATAACGTGACATTAGTACATGACATATATAGCTCAACATTTCAACAAAATACACTTTGCACTTACTTCATGCTTGTTTGGACACACAAACTCCAACGTATTGTCAGGGTTTATCATGGCTCGGTCTCCGCAATGGCACAGAGGAGGTTCCTCGAGTCGTCTAACTGCGGCTAAGTGCTTCTTCTTAGCCGTCATTGGAGAGGGGTTAGGGGGAGGTGGAACCCACTGCTCGAAGTGCTCTCGTGGATGTCGCCCTCTCCACCAATCGTCGAAAAGGAGGTACCTGGGGTTAAACTCGTCTGCACCGTCGATCCACTGAAAGAAAAAGCACATCTCATGGTCCTACATAACAAAAATTCAACAAAATATTAGTAATCTAGTAATACAAATGAAGAAGAAAAAGATAGTGGAAACAATTACTTACATTAAAACGAGTGCACGTGTAGAAGCAACGAGCCGCTGTGTCCGGATGTCTCGATTGAAACACGTTGGCCGGACGACTACAGTCACAATTAGGGGCAGGGAGTTCAGGAGAGACGGGGGCATCTTTGCTAGACTCGTCGGGGTACATTTCTTTAGGACGACCCCGTTTTCGCCATAACTACTTCCGAAACATGTCTTCTATCTAATAAAACGGTTCAAATTAAACATCAATCAAAACAAGGCAAATTAATATAAAATGTAATCATTTGTAATGCAACTAAAATATTATAAACAACAATTATAGCAACAAAAATATACATGGTAAACATACTTCTAACTAAATAATTAACCTTAACACTGACAAAATCAAAATAATTTCTTTATCATAGTTCCCAAACATAATTTTTCTACTAACCTTAACTTTGATTCATAATATCCTATCCACCGTTCAAACGAAATTAAAATGTGCGTCATTACCTTGAAGTAGGACGAGGAGGGAGGGAGGTGGTCGAAGAATGGAAGGGAAGGGAGGGAGGCGGCAATGGAGGGGTTGTCATTGCGTCGTGCGTATGGTGTGCGGTGGCGTGTGTTTGGCGACGGGCAAGGCGGCACGGGAGCGACGCTGACGCGCCTTGGTTTTGTCGCTTTCGGGCAATGAGACTAGTCATGAGGTTATACCGGCTCATTGCTGCGCCACATCAGATCGGTCGCGACCTTTGATTAAGTTAAGATCGGTGGCGCAGAGAGCCTTGCCACGTCAACGGTCAGCGCTTCTAGTCGCCGCCACGTCAGCCCTCTGCCGACGCCATCATACATGGCGCAGCACAGGCAATTGGCCGCGCTAAGACAATAGGCGCGGCCAAAAGTGTTAGTTTAAAAAAACCCGATAATGTTAGATTTAAAATTAGTTTCGAAAAAATGTTAAAATTAAAAAAATAGTTTTAAAAAACCCGATAATATTAAATTTAAAAAATTCAAAAAAGTGTTAAAATTAAAAAAAAATTCTCCCTAACCTGATCCTTTCCACCAAAGCAACCTACAGAGTACACAGTACAAGTCTACTGCGCATCCCTTTGCTTGACAACGAGAATAAGAAAAGGAGAAAAACAAAAGCCGAAAGCCGAAGTAAAGACAGCGCTGTCCCTCGAACCCTCGCCGCCGCATCTGCCGCCGCCGCCGCTTCTTTCCCGATCGCCGTGGCCATGGCGAAGGAGTTCCCCGTGCCGCCGGTGGTCTTCACGCCGTCCACCCCGACGCACCGCCGCCACCCTGGCCCGGGCGTGGGGGCCTCCCCTCCGCCCGCGTTCGCACCGCCCCGCCCCTCCACCTCATCCGCCGCCAACCCGCTCCCCTTCATGTCGTTCGATGTCTCAGCTGCCGCGGCTTCCTCCTCCTCCGTGCCGCCCCTCTTCGCGGGGCCTATCGGTGTCGGCGGTTCCGGCGCATCCTTCGAGGACGAGCCGCCGCTCCTCGAGGAGCTCGGTATCAACACGCGCCAGATCTGGCGGAAGACGATCTCCATCCTCCACCCGCTCCGCTCCGCCGACCCCTCCCTCCACGCCGACGCCGACCTATCGGGCCCGTTCCTCTTCCTCCTCTCCTTTGGACTCTTCCAGCTCCTCGCGGGGAAGTTCCACTTCGGGATCGTGCTCGGCTGGGTCACCGTGGCGTCCCTCTTCCTCTACTTCGTCTTCTCCATGCTCTCGGGCGGCCGCCGCGGGGACCTCGATCTGTACAGATGCGTTAGCCTCGTCGGCTACTGCATGCTTCCCATGGTCATCTTCTCTGCTGTCTCCCTCTTCCTGCCTCGCGGCGGTGGGCTCATATTTGGAGTAGGGATGGCGTTCGTGATATGGTCAACCAGGGTCTGCACCAGGCTGCTAGCAGAGCTTGCATCCAGCGGAGACGAGCACAGGGGCCTCATCGCTTATGCGTGCTGGCTCGTCTACATGCTCTTCTCGTTGCTCGTCATCTTCTGATACCGTTTATGGTATGGAAGGTATGCTTGGACAACTATACTAGATCATGCAAATATTTAATTTGATTATTGTTGTTATATGCACCAGTGATTACAGTACAGCAATAGTTTACTGTGTAAACCTCTAAGGTAATCATTTTAACTCTAATGGAGGTGTTATACATAATTATTGTGATTTGAGGAGAAATGAAATATATATATGAACATATTTGATTGTATGCCAATTAACTAACATTTAGCCACTACAATCTTGATTTAATAAGATATGAGTTTGTTGACGTTATTGTTCTGTTCTTTTCCTTTGAAACCTCATAGAACACAGAGTTGGATGGATGTTTGCTGTGTTCATCTCATCTGAATTTAACTTGATTACCCCATGATATTGGTCTTGTTTCTGCCATGATTGTAACTGAAAGGTGGTTATGTGCTACCCCAGTTAATATAGCCATATCTGCTCACCTGAAGTATCTGTAATGTGTTTGTCGTTACGCACAACTCTCCCTTGTAATGTTTAACATACTTAATTTATTTGGAAGCTGTGATGCCTGGATATAGATACTAGTACACGATACAGCGATACTCTGTTACGCTATTTTCCGCCAAAAAAACACAGATACGGTGATATGCCAATATGCATATAAAATAAAATAAATACGCCAAATATTACATAATATAACATTATTTAGGGCATAACATTCAGGCCATCAAGCAGCCAAGACCCTAGTTGCAATAGCTGGGTTGTTGGAGACAGGAAATCCTCCGCTTTAACCACCCATGGGTAGATAAAAATGCATTCAAACTAGTAGCCATGATCTGACAAGGTCTCTTATACGAAGCGAAGGTTTCGAGTTATCACATGTGTACTGGTGAGGTATCTCAGGACTATCTGAGTTTTTTTTTTATTATTTGGAAATTGAGTAAACTTTTGATACGTCTGGGATACGTTTGTGCGTGGAGGGTCTGATACCGGTATGTGAGTTTTGCGAAGTATCTACATTTCATAGTTTGGAAGTTTTGCATCTTCTTACTGATTGTAATTGAGTAGTAGGTGCTTGAAAATTACTTGATGACATTGTGCATGTGAAAACAAAATGCAAAATCGGTAGCAGTTCTGACTGATAACTGATAGACCTGCAGAGTTAGGCCATATACAAGATAAGAGTCGGGCTCTGAATTGTAAATGTAGTTGATTATTTGGTTGCCCAGGGATTACAAGGTAGTTTTATTCTTTGCGTTGCATGATTGCAGTTGAACTATAAGTCATCTAGCAATAGATGTTTATGGCAATGAAATTAGTACTAGCAAGATGGAGGTAATGTACCGAACGTCAAATGAGGCAAGTTTGTGTAGCTATTGGAAACTAGGATGTGTTGTATGCCACTGGAAGTTTTTTTCCTACATAAATTGGGAACACCTTGCATGCTGTTGACCACTTTTCTAGTCTTAAAGGTTGTTCAACTGCTTAGCATCAAATACATGATTGTAACTCATTCAAGACTGACGTACAAGTGTCATTGAAACCAATGCAATAGTTAGCAGTGTGATAGTGATGTTCACATGTTATAAGTGATAATTCTGTTAAATCGAATGACAAATCGCTGGTGGATATTATCTGCAAGTGTCATTTAGAACTGGAAATTGACAAGTTGTTGATAAATGAACCCAGTGATGTCCCTAAATCGAATGACAAATTGAAGACGCTTTAGAGTAAAATATTCAACTCCTTCAGCATGGAGGGCTTTAACATAATTAATAGATGTCCTTTTATCTCAGTGGCTGAAGATACTTAGTGTCTTTATGCAGCTAAACAACTTGACAGTTCTGAATTCTGATATATGATTAACTGTTTTTATCATTTCTTTCTTTTCATATTTTACCTAAAGGAATCTGTGCGTGCTCCGTGCTTTGTCCATTATGTATCTCAGGCCAGCTCTTACATTGCTTGTTTGATATGCTAAGTAGAAATGTTCTAGGGATGAGATAGGTCAGATAAACTCATTTACTAATTCAAGCAGTTCTTTCAAAGGAAACATAAATTCAACCTGCCTGAACTCAAGAAAATTATTTTCTGAGGCTTATTTCAATTATCTCTACGATAACTTAAAGATGTGTATTCTATCAGTACATTAATTAAGCTTTGCCTATATATATAGTATTACTGTGGCTGCGGTGGCGGTAGTTGGTGGTGGTTGTCCGGTCACCACTGTGTGTACTATTATGTCTGTACCCTTGGTAAAATTTGTGCCAACATGTGGCAGCAGCTCAGCACTTCTCGCACGATCCCCTCCATATTCCCCTGTGGCCCGTCTGTCCTGGAAGGCAGGGCATTTCCTTTTCCTCTTCTCTTCCTTATCACCCACACATCTCTCTCCTCATACGATGATGCTTGTGGCTGCTATCCGTTGAGCTCGCTGGTTTGAACATTTTTTATGGTGTCCACATTGACAGGGCTATGATGTCAAACACCTTGCGTTGATTTTGATTCAGTAGCAGCTGCTGCTCAACTCAGCATGTGAGTGATTGGATCTGATGGCAGAGGATCAAATGGTTGCTTGCTGCTGCTGCAACTGTTGAAATGACCTCCTGGAGTGTTTAGCCTGCTGCTGGTGCTTAATCTGGCTTGGGGGTGGATGGATTTTGCCGTCAAGTGTCCTCATGTGGTGGCTGGCTGGCTGCCACCGCCACCTTGTCACTCTGCGGGAATGTAAAGTCCTATCCTGTCATTTGTATAAGGCAACAAAAGGTTGAATAGGGTGGCCGGCGGTTTGTGGATGTGCTTGTCGATACTCTCTAAACCAATGGTGGCACTCAATTATGGCACTTAGTCCAGCTGAGATCCAGTCTTTGTTTCTCCTTATGCACTCTAGGGTCAATGGTCAATGGTCAATGGCCTCAAGCTTAGGTCACCACAGTGCTATGTACCGCTATTCCTCCACACTTGATTGGGTACTACTGTCAGTAAGCCCAGATCATGGAGTCCGAAGCTGGATTGGCCTTCCAAGAGTATAACTGAATGCTCTTCTTTTTATCGGCATTCGCTAGGGTGGGTCTTTTGTTGGAGAGCTCTGCTAGTTCAGTTGTTAGTTGGTCGTTGGCTCATGTTGTCTGATCCCTATCAGAAACATGAGGTGGGTAGCAATTACGTTTTACTTTCTCAAACTGTTAAACATTGTAATTTCGTTACCAAGGTAATGAAATTCGGTTTTACCGTGGTGGGAAAAAAGTGAATGCTCTTCTCTTTATTGATTGCTTAGTCCTCTCGTTTAATGGAAATCGTACCTTTTAGCACAATTGGTGATGTGGTGAAAGTGTAAGCATATGAAAATGGTGAACATGTTGGAGCACAGTAATATTTGTTATCTGCTAGCACTTTTGTTTTGTACTTGTGTTTGCAACTTTGTGCATTATGAAAACCTTTGGATTGCTTTTTTTTTTTGCTACTGTGTACAGATTTATAAACTGTGTCTCTCCTTTCTGTGCAGATTATGTTCGTAATTTGTTTAGCGGATGATGTGGACAGCGGACTGCCTTTTTACCAGTCACTGGAGTGTTTTTGCTGTGTTGTTGCAGAACTACATACAATCTGGCCAGTTGGGGAGATGTTCTGTAGTGATCTCTTACTTCCAGTGGGCAATGGTTGGTGTTCGGTGTAGATCTTGGTAAAAAGAAAAGGAAATCGAGGTCCAGAAACAGCAAATGTGCAGTAATTAGGTCTTTGCTGAAGTATTGGTGGAAATCTTACTTTCGAAAGGGATCGTGGTCGGTGCAAATCTTGTTAATTATGATTACTTACCACGACTCCTATTTTTTTTAGATCACCGTGGTAACTTATTTTCTGTTCACCGTTTATTTGTCAGTGATGCATTTTGGCAGAGATAGTTGTTCTGTCTTCAGGCATCGTGGTAGTTACTGAATCATCATAAATCAAAGGAAACGTTAGTTTTCTTTCATCTGTTACAAGTTGACTCTTGCATTGAGTTTATCTTCTGGGATAGAAAAATAAGCTGTTTGCAATTTGTGCTATTGTGCGATTACGCATGGCACCATTTTCTGGTTCATATGGGAAAGGGCTGGCATTATCTTATTTGCATTTCTGGTTCATATGTGAAAAGGCTGGCATTATCTTGTTTGCAAAAGGCAAGGATGTGTCATCCATTATTAAATCCACTTGTTGCTCTTATATTATACGTAGCATGGTTGCAACTTTTAAGTTACCCGGGGAATATATTTCTCTGTTTGGCTGATGGTGTCTACGGCTGATAAGTCAGACGATGCTGTTTTGTTGTGAGAGAAAAATATTGTACTATGTTTGATACGATACGCCGGGCTGATAAATTTATGTGAATTTGTTTGACATGTCACCTTCCGGTGCCCTTTTTGGCTCTATCCATACGGCTTGCTTTGTCCCACGATTAGTTTTATTATCACTTTTTGGGAAGTTCTAAACGTTTGACTATATATATAAGAAATTATTAAAGTTAGTTTAAAAAATATATGTAGAAGAAATTATTAATAGTTAGTATCCAATAAGTTATTAGATTAATCGTTGAATGTATTTTCACAACAAACTTATTTAATATATTTAACAGATATAAATGTTGGCTGGCATTATCTTATTTGCAGAAGGAAAAGATGTAAATCGGTAAGAATACTAATGCTCATCCTCAACCTTCATCTCCCTCCATCCACCCCACCCCTGCCTACCTCGCCTGTCGCCTAGGCCATCGACGACCTCCCTACCCACCGCTTCTTCTATAGCCTTTCTTGATCCCAATCAACTACCTCGTCGGCGACTCATCGTACTTGTAGCTGGCTTCACCCAACCGGATATTCTCCACTCTCTCTCAACTCGCCACTAAACCCTTCCCCCTTATAAGGCTGTTGGCCATGGAATTCTCATGAAAATCTAAAACCCTAACCCCCAAATCATTATCGTTGCTGCCGCCTCCACCGCCTTGACCACCCACTCCGCCTCCCCCTTCCCTAATTTCGGCGGCATCC